AAGGAGCCATTCAACCAGGTTGGAACCAAAACGCCTTTACCCTTTTCCTCCTTCACTCAATTAAACATGGATGGAGGTTGTATCGTCACCTCAAACACCCCCTAAAACTCCCACAGGGGATTTGTGACATGTGTCATCGCCATCACTAACTCCTCCCACACAGACACACACACCAACATCACCTCCTGTCAGCGGGGCTTAGACAGCAGCACACAGAAGTGACATCCATAATGTGCATCACTTGGAGGCCCGCATTGTGGCTGCATCCATGTTTTATCCTGCAGCAGAGAGGACTGTTTTACATTTTCAAAAGCATGCATCATTAACACAATAAATGCTGAATCTGGGTCCTGAAGTTGTGCATTCATCTCCCTTTGTTGGAAAATGACAGAATTTGTTATATACTCCATAATTATCCATCTCTAAGCACTCTACAGCAAACCTGATTGCAGCTTTTGTCATTTTCTCATAATGCTTCCTCCCAGTTGCAGATTTTGCCTGATTAACCATCATCTGCTGGGATTTCTGAGAACAATGTTATAGCATAGCCACAACGTGTAAGAAAAAGTGAAAATCAAATGCACTGCCAGGAGAAATTCTAAAAGGATCTGTGTTTGCTAATTGCTTGATTATTCAAAACAATTAAGAAACATAGTGTTAGGGCCGTTTTATACATTTCAACCAGTGAAGCACGGTGGCACAATTGTTAGCACTGTTGTCTTGAGCAAGAAGGTCCTGGGTTTGAATCCACCACCAGCGCCTTTCTGTGGGGTGTTTGGATGTTCTCCTTGTGTCTGTGTCGGTTCTCTCTGGGTACCTTGGCTTCTCCCACAGTCCGAAAATATGCATTTAGTAGGTTTAGGTTAATTGCTGTTTTTAAATTGGCCATAGTTGTGAATGGTGGTCTGTCTCTTTATGTTAGCCATTCGACAGACTGACAATCTGTCCAGGATGTACTCCATCTCTTGCTCTAAAGCAACGGAGATAGAGTCCACCCACCCACGACGCTGAAGCAGAAGTAAATGGATGAATACTTCCATCCAAATTCTATTCAAACTGGTTTAGATTAGTTTATGCTACAGGTGTTTCTGGAAAGAACTGGGCCTCCTGCTAACCCTCTGCATGGCAGAAATTCCACGTAGTTGATATAAATAAATAACGATGCACAACTTACAGTATCTTGGGACATGGGGCAATGAAAAACAAATTCACAGGAGGCAGAAATGTGAGTAAAATGGGACCTTTGAACAGAATCTGAACTCACAGCTATGACAGACTGAATAATTCAGGACCTGTTCATGACTCTGGCTGTAAACAGAACGCCCGAGTAGGTTTTACAAGCATTTGCCACTTGCACATTTTTGTGTTTGCCGTGTAATGAGAAACGTGGCAAAACCTTTATCAAACATGAAACTTTCAGGTCATATATTCTACAAACTATGATATTAAAAACTAAATAACACCCTGCTCAAAAATACTTTAGTGCTTCTTTTGTTGGAAGAACGTTTGCAAAGGAAGCAGCCAAACTGTTTGACAATGACCTTCTAAACCTCATCACTTGGGCTTCCTCATTCAGTCCTTCAACGCTGTCGAGAGAACCTGGATTTTAAGAGTGAGTGGGAGTTTATTCAGTCTCCTCACCGAGGCTAACACCACTGTCTTTGAGTTTTAATGGGGAAGGTGAAGCAAGGTCACTCAGTAGTTGGCTGGTCAGACTCACAGCAAATAACAGAGATGATTATGAGATCCCTGCACTTCCAAACACATTAGTGTAAGCTGCCTTGCCCACGCAGCTGACAAATCTGCTGTCTTAGATAATAGTAAGGCTACTAAACTCACATATTAAATACTTACCAACCATGCTTTGCACTTTGCACGGTAATAAAAAAAGCAACTACTCACTAGCACGAGAATGGAATACATTCTGATAGATGATGATTGTACCACACAAGATTAAAGTAATGTGGGCTGCTGAATGATGATATTTTCTATGTGTGGCTTATGGTCAACAAATTAATTGAGATCAACAGCATGCCTCACTTAGAATGATAATAACGTTAAGAGGAACAATGAGCAGATTTTCATTTCTTCACAACATTGCATTTAGAAGAAAGCCTAATCATAACGAGTGATGAATGAATACAGGAAAGCTACTTAAAGCGCACTAGCAGAGACTATAGATGTCTGTGCAAAGCTGATAAACATTCTCATCCTGTGGCTGAAGAGATGAGGGATCCCGGGGATGCTAGATCCACATTTATGCCACAGTGCAACCATGAAGTCTATAGCAGTGCCATCAGAAGTTACACTGCATTCAATTTGTGATCGGTTTTCATGCCATCAGAGACACTTTTCTTTAGTCAGAGAAAACAACAAAAGATGAGTTTAATCAAACCTTCAGATAGCCAGTACTAAATACGCCTAACACCAACACCTGGGAATATCAGGAAAAGGTCCCATGATTAATCTTAAAATGACAGTGTTAAATAGCTCTATATAGCATTATTATTGAACTTCAGATCAATCTATTGGCTTTGAAGGAGGGATAAGAGGCCAAATGTGACAATATTTTAAATCCACCACATTTGTGAGGATCACATTTTAAACAATAAATGATTAAGATGACCTTCAATGGCTTGGTGTGTATAAGCCAGATTGTTATGGATTGTTAACATGTCCCTGATGTACACCCCCAAAAAGTTTGATCAGAATTAATTCAAAACATTTTGATTTACAGTGGTCTCTCGTTTATCGCGGGAAATACATTCAAAAATTGACCCATGATAGGTGATATTCACGAAGTAGCCAATTTTATTTTTTACAATTATTATATATGTTTTAAGGCTGTAAAACCCCTCAATACACGCTTTATACACTCAGGCAGGCATGAACATTTTCACACTTTTCTCTCGTTTAAACCAGGGTTTTAATAGTTTTGCAATTTTCATTAGTTTTTATTTTTATTTAGTTTTGACTTCAGATTTTCAATTTTATA